TTCTTCCAAAAATCAGCATCTCTTCATCCATGCCGACAATAAAAAGTTTATTTTGAAGATTTGAGATTTGCTCTTGAGAGTTATGACCTGATATGATGAAACTTTTAAGCCTCTTAGAATAAAATAAATATTTTGATCGAAATTCCTAGTATGTTAAAGTACAGATAGTTTGCGTCCAATAATTTAAATAACCAGTCTTAGTTTGAGGAATATACAAGAATTAGGCTCTAATTTGTATTTACTGATCTGTCGTTATTTAATTTAACAAACTATCAGCGTTCTTTTTCCTGTGTGGTGCGATTGCAGATCTTGAGCTGGAGTGGAGCTGAAAATAGCTCGACTCCACGCGTACGTGTGCGTCGCGTTGCGGTGACGGAGGATGTGGAATCTGGGGATTAGTCGAGCACCTGAATTTTTCCTGGTCCATCTTTTATCTGAGGAATAAAATCGTGTCAGAGCTGGAAATAATGTGACGCCGTTTTTAGCTTTTTGCTCTTGTTATATTTTTAAAGCTATTTAAAATCTAATGCTGTGAATTTTTTTTTTTCCTCATTGCGTTGTTTAGAAAAGTTTACTGAAACATTTCTTGATGTGATCCTGTTGTCCTCTCTGGGCCTGTGATGTGACTCTGCAGTTAAGGGCTACACAAATAAACTTCAAAGAAAAAACATAGAAAGCCTTTTTTTTTCTCCACTTGGTTCATAAATATAACGCAAAATTGAGTTTAATTGAGTTGTAAAGGTTTGAGGTGAATACAGAACAGCGCACCCTACTGGAGCACATCTGCCTACAGTTGAGCTGGTGAAAAGTTTCACATCAGGTAGATAGTTGAGTTTCTTTCTTTATTTTTGAAAACAAAGAATAATTTTTGTCAATTCAAATTTGGAAAAAGAAAAATACAATCCCGAAATGAAACTTTCTACGAAAGCATTTCTTAGTAAAAAAGAAAAAGGTTTACTTTTTCAACATTAACTTTTCATATATTTTTTTTTCAAATTTTATTGAAAACATTTTTTTTCCCAATTGTTTTTTTTTTTTTTTACAGGTTTTATATTTTCAAATTATGTTTTCATTTTTTCACACCTCAAATTTGTCTTGTATTTCTCTTGTATATGTGGTATTCTCAATCTGAAAAATCTAGAGAAAGAAAATTTATTTTACTCTCGAAACCAATTTTTTAATCAATTTGTTATTCAAAATTAAATTTCTGAATTGCATTTAATTTTTTCATCCAAATTTCCATTTACAAAACATGTTCTTGCAACAATAATGAGACAAAATTCACTCCGTACAGTAGCATTCATTCGGTAGAAAGTTGGTCAAAGATTAAAATTTGCACTGATTACAGAATTAGTCCTAACCAAGAACATGAAATGGATTCCTCTGAAGTTTCTCATTCTGACCCTCATTAATGGAAAATGGCAAAACTGTTGGTCATCATAACTTTTTTTTGTTGCTTTTTTATTATATAGGAAATATAATTAATTCTACATTAATTATGGAATTGAGTAAAAACCATCAAGTAGTTCTGTTGAACCAGTTTTTGTTATTCAAAATGTTTTATGAATTGCATTTTTTTTTCAAATTCTTTACCAGAAAACATTCTCTGCTCTTGTATACGTGTTGTTCTCTATCTGAAAAATCTAGAAAAAGAACATTTATTTTACTCTCGAAACCAATTTTTTAATCAATTTGTTATTCAAAATTAAATTTCTGAATTGCATTTAATTTTTTCATCCAAATTTCCATTTACAAAACATGTTCTTGCAACAATAATGAGACAAAATTCACTCCGTACAGTAGCATTCATTCGGTAGAAAGTTGGTCAAAGATTAAAATTTGCACTGATTACAGAATTAGTCCTAACCAAGAACATGAAATGGATTCCTCTGAAGTTTCTCATTCTGACCCTCATTAATGGAAAATGGCAAAACTGTTGGTCATCATAACTTTTTTTTTGTTGCTTTTTTATTATATAGGAAATATAATTAATTCTACATTAAATATGGAATTGAGCAAAAGCCATCAAGTAGTTCTGCCGTGTCAGGCTGGGCTCCTGCTTTCCATCATGGAGAAGAATGTCTCTAAATTTAGTTCTGTTTGGTTTCAAAGGATTGAAAGGATCGATGAGGGCTCCTTTAGAAAAGTGTCCAGGAGGCACAGCTAACTGCAGCTTTTGGAAAACGCTGCAAACACAAAAACAGGCTGGAAAAGTCTTTAAAAAAGTAAAACTGTGCAGCAACAACTTTGTACATGGGAGGTGAACATATTATGACGTGGAGCTGAGAGATCTTCAAGATGAGAAACTGATTAGAGCTTTAGATGAGAAGCAGATAAGTTAGTTGAATGTCCAAACCATTTCTCTAGAGAACTTATCATTGATAACTTTAAAATTAAGTTAACTTTGTAAGTTGCTTTGGATAAAAGCGTCTGCTAAATGCATAAACGTAACAGAATAATTTTCATTAGGATTTTCAGAAATAGCTCAGAAAATATCCATCAGAATTAGTTTTCTCATAAAAGCAACACAAGATAAGATCTGCATGTTTAAGCACCATAACACAGATGACAATCTGACACGTAACTCTTAAGTCCTGAAATGTCTTAAAGTCCCTCAGTTTTCAGTGGACTTTTGGCAGGGAGGCTGCAGCAGTTTACTCAGAAACACAGACGTAAACAAAACTGTTGGTACCCCCGTTTAATAAAAGAAAAATTGTGTCTATGTCAAAGTGTAATGTAAATAAATGAAAACAACTTATTAAATTGTCAGAACAATGTAAATAAACTCATGAAAGAGACCTAGAACAGACTGAAGAATAATGTGACCAAATGGGCTTGTTCTATCAAGACATGTCCACTAGTTAGCATCAGCGGTTAAAAGTAAAGGCTATAAGACCGTCTCCAAGCAGCTGGATGTTCCTGTGATTACAGCTGCACATAGAAATAAATGTAAGAACCATTGGACTGTAGCCGACCTCCCAGATGTGGCATCAGTTGAGAAACTGATGATAAATCAAAGAGATGTATAATATGAATGGTGACAAAATAGCCCAGATAAAACTTCTAAAGAGAATTAAAGAAGGACTTCACGCTAATGGGTGCGTCAAATCGCACCGGTCCTTCTAATTGTCAATCATTCTGGTGATATGTTGACATAAGGCCATCCTACGTGCTCGGCCCCATTTCCACTAACCACTTCTTGTGCAAAGTAAGCTTAAATGAGCGATACAAACAGCAGCTATCAAACAGAGCGTGCATGAGGAGAAATGGGCTTGTGCATGATCTCACACGTTTAAAAGCCGTTCCTTCTTGGAAGCAGGTACACTGGAAAAAATCTTAATCTAGATAAAGTAATTTTTTCTTAAAATGAGTGCATTTGTTCTTAAATTGAGGAGATAAAAGACATTTCGCCAATGGAGCATGACAATTTAGGTTTAAAATAAGAAAACACAACTGCATTGTCTTATTTCAAGTGCATATTATCTAAATATCTTATTTTAGTAAAATACTCATTTCATTGGCAAATTATCTCATTGACCCACTCAAATCAAATACACTTAATTTAAGAAATTTTCACTTATTTCTATATATGAGCCCTATATATATATATATATA